TGTAAGACGCAACGGAATTAAAACTAAGTTGAAGAGAAAAGCCAGAAATTGATGCTATATATATATATATATATATATATATATATATATATATATATATATATTTAAAGGAAGAACATGCAACTGCATTTTTTAAACAAAAGGTCATAAAAGATATAAAGTTTGATAGCGTATCATAACAATCTCCTCAATTCTCTTTTGGTACCACCAGCACGAGCTGTTTTATTATGTCTAGGGTCTGAAATTTCAGCTCTTTCAACAGCGATTTTAGTGATGGGAAAAATGGGAACTGGTAGAAGTGGGCGATTCGACGTTTTGCAAAAAAAACAAAAAATGTATGAGACGTTATTAATATAAACATTATTTTTTTTAGTAGGTACGCATTTCTGAGTTGATATCCTTATTTTATATTTTTTTAAACAGTGAAATTAATATCAACCAGGCTAGCTCGAGAAGTCCTATTAAAGAAAGATGTGACTCCCGGACGGTCTCCTGTGATCTAATTGGTAACGGTCCGATTCAGCTATAGAATTGATTTCCTATATTGAAAAAGGGTATACATGTTCCATTTCCATCAAGAAGCACAATCTTTTCTTTAGTAGGATTTCTTGATCTTGACATTAATTTTACTCAAGATAAGAAAAAATAAGGAAGTCTACTCAAACACGTATAACCACGAATGATAACGTTCATAGTAATAATAAGAATGTTGGATGAAAAAAAAAATTACATTATTCACATCATTCAGACTGTTGTCCTCATCTTTATTGCCATATTCATGACGTTTCGGCCGTTGTACGCACTGGCGTTCTTCAGGTGATTAAAGATTATATATAAATATAGCATGTAATTTTACAATAAATATATATTATGATTGTTACCGCAATATATTGTTAAAGTTGTTAAGCTTAAATATTTAACGATGCAATGATAATTTACAATGGTATTTCATAGTCAGAGAATTTGCAAGGTGCTTAGTCAATCATTAGCTTAACAATTATGATTCATCAGAGAATTTAACAAAGCAGTTTAATTTTCACGGGTACTACCAGCTAATATTACTATTTCATTTCTGCAATTAACAGTAATAAGATTTGCATAAATATTCGATACCAAGAGAAAAAAAAATAGCAGTCAATGAAGACATAACTGCAAGTAAAATTGAACGCTTCTTACTTCCACTATGTATTGTAATGCTCAATAACACTTTGGTTTGGTTTATTTTACGGTATATCAACCTCAATTTAATGCCGACAAAATTTTTATTGCTGATAATATCTTTTTTAAAAAATGTATTACTGGTAATAATGTATTTCTGGTAAAAAAAACTTTTACAAAGTATTTCTGGTATTAAAACCTATTTTTACACTTTCATAATGTTTTGACCCCAGCTTGGGGGTTAACTATTTATCCATAGCTGGGACCCTAACAGGTGCTACTACCCCGGGTCAGGTGGACTTGGGAACACCAGCAATTAAGAGGTGGTTCCACGCTCCTCAAAACCTCCTGATCAGAAGAGGCCTTGCTGTTGGACGTAGTTCATCGTCATACCCAGGACGTGGGTGTAGTTTATTGTCATACCCAGGACGCGGATGTAGTTTATCGCCTTACCCAGGATGCGGATGTAGTTTATCGTCATACCCAGGACGCGGATGTAGTTTATCGTCTTACCCAGGACGCGGATGTAGTTTATCGCTTTACCCAAGACGCGGATATAGTTTATCGTTATACCCAGGACGCGGATGTAGTTTATCTTATTACCCAGGAAGCGGATGTAGTTTATCGCCTTATCCAGGACGCGGGTGTAATTTATCGTCATACCCAGGACGGATAACACTTTAGAAGTCCTAAGTAAATGTAACTTACAAATGAAACATTCATTAATCTTTTTAAAAATCATTACAAAAACCAAAAAAGCAATTTCAGGACTTGTAAAAGAAATTAAGTGAAGCTTATAAATCCAGGATGTAATAAAATTCCTAACTGGTTTCATCTGTCCCATTTCAATGTCTTATCTCTATTACTTAAATGTAAAACTGAGTATTGTAACGGTATTTGCAAGGTCAGGAGGTCATCCAAGGAAAACTTCTACATGTGGGGGTAGCTAAAATCACAAAGGAGTTTCAGTCAACCTGTCATTAGATATTAAAAGACATATAGACAGATCTAAAGAATGCTGGAACAAATGGACATGCTGAAACAATTTGTAGAATATTGACGCAACAAGGGTTTCACAGAAAGGTTGCAGATAAAAAGTCCATAGACAAGGAAACACATAAATGGTTTATTTAGCATTGTCTAAAAAGGTTTTGGATCAGCGAAATGACCCCTGGAATACAATTATTTAGTTAGACTAAATAAAAAATAGGAATTTATACAGTAGCATTAAATTTGGAGAAAAAAGAACACAGTACATGATATAAGAAATAAGTCGCAAACTCAACAGTCAAGCATCAGGAAAAACACATCGCTTTATATAAGGAAGAACATATCGCCTTATATAAGGAAGAACATATCGCTTTATATAATGATGGGCATTACTTTATATAATGAAGAACACACCGCTTTATATAAGGAAGAACACATCACTTTATATAATGAAGAACATATCGCTTTACATAAGGAAGAACACATCGCTTTATATAATGATGAACATCACTTTATATATGGAAGAACACATCATTTTATATAATGAAGAACATATCGCTTTATATAAGAACAAATCGCTTTATATAATGAAGAACACATCGCTTTATATAAGGAAGAACACATCACTTTATATGAGAACACATCACTTTATATAATGATGAACATAACTTTATATAAGGAAGAACACACTACTTTATATAATGAAGAACATATCGCTTTATATAAGGAAGAACACATTGCTTTATATAATTATGAACACATCGCTTTATATAATGATGAACACATCCCTTTATATAAGCAAGAACACATCGCTTTATATAATGATTAACAAATCGCTTCATATAATGAAGAAGACATCGCTTTATATAAGGAAGAACACATCACTTTATATAATGAACATCACTTTATATAATGATCAACACATCACTTTATATAATGAAGAACATATCGCTTTATATAAGCAAGAACACATCGCTTTATATAATGATGAACAAATCGCTTCATATAATGAAGAAGACATCGCTTTATAAAAGGAAGAATACATCACTTTATATAATGAACATCACTTTATATAATGAACATCACTTTATATAAGGAAGAACACATCGCTTTATATAATGAAGAACACATCACTTTATATAATGATGAACACATCACTTTATATAATTGTTATACCGTACCAGGGACGATAATGGGTATATCCCAATTCCTATAAATACAGTGACATATACTGTATGTTTTTTCCACAGAGGATTCACCTTGATTCACTTCTAGCTCACCACTAACAGTTGATTACTTACTACACGCCGCTGGCGAATCTTGTATGTTGTTCCTGTTATAAATATTATCGTTCTATTTCCAACCTTCGTTTCGGTTATTCTTATTAAGTAAGCTTTGACTAGGTTACAACAATAATATAAAGAACACATCACTTTATATAAAGAAGAACACATCACTTTATATAAAGAACACATCACTTAGTATGATGAAGACCACATCACTTTATATAATGAGGAAACAGGTGGACATGTTGATACAATTTGTAGAACACTGAAGGAACAAGACTTTCACAGAAATGTTGCACATAAATATAACATAAATTATTAATATTTTACACCTGGATTATTTTCTTTCTTTTTTTCATTTATTAATCATTCATTTATCGATTCAATTTGTAAAAAGATGTAATACATGAACTGGTATTGTATAAGACAGAATAAAGATTATTTTTTAAACATTCGTTCCCTAATGAAAAAATAAATTTAGCAGTCAATTAAGTCATAATCATATTTATTATAAAACCCAGGTTGTGTGTGTGTGTGTGTGTGTGTGTCCGTTTATATATTGGATCGAATTTCCTACATTTTTCGACCGATTTCAACAAAACTACACAGAACTACGTAAAATTACCTTACGGTGGTTCTGACAGCGCCAAAACTTGGAAAAACACAATTGTTTTTGCACGAAATCAATTTGAAAACACAATTAAGAGGCATCGCGAGAATGAAAGGGGGACAACACATATCAAGTTATACTTATTATAAAACCCAGGTTGTTTGTGTGTGTGTGTTCGTTTATATATGGGATCAGATTTCCTACATTTCTCAACCGATTTCAACAAAACTTCACTTTTTTTTTTGGCAGGTTGTGTTTCTTATTGTCTTGCACACTTTTTTCTTTATTTTTACATTCAGAATGCTTTAAAAATTCTATTTACAAGACAATTGTTTATAATAAAATTCTATTCAATCGATAGACTCATAACGATTGAAAACAATGTTTTTGTTTGAGTTTGGGTTTGAGCAATTCGTTAACCCCCCCCCCGCCAAAAAAAAAAAAAACAAAAAAAAAAAACAATTAAGACATGCCTGTCCGTCATCCTTAAACAATAATCTTTGTCAATTTTATTTTTCAGTCTTTATGATGGTCGATACTTGATCTATCTCTTACTGTTACATCCCCGGGCAACGCCGGGCTCTATTTCTAGTAACAGCTAAAATCTCCGTTGGTAGAATTTTATAGTTGAGAATTTGCAAGGTGCTGATTCAATCATTAACGTAAGAATTATGATTTATCATTAATTCATTCGTTTTCTACGGCTTATCAACCCTTTGAACGTTGTTTAAAGTCAGAAAATATTTTTTAGATTGTAAGAATTTTTTAAGGATAACAATGATTTTAGTGAGACAGATCACATTAATTAACCTATAGCTGAGGGAAAAAGAGGTGGATCCATCCCTTTCCCAAGACTAATTGCGCGTAAGTGAATAAAACAAACCTAACCTGAATTGGAAATCGGCTCTTCTATTAATAATTCTGAGTCATTACACCACCTGCTCATCCAAGCTCAGAGCACCTGGTATTTCCAGGCAGTCACCCATCTACGTACTGACCAGGCGCGGCGTTGCTTAACTTCGGTGTTCGTACATGAACCGGTGCATGATTCATCAGGAAATTTAAATAACAAAACCGTTTAGTTTTCACGGGTACTACTAGTGAATATTATTATTTCTACAATTAGCACTATTTAATAAGTAATAAGATTTGCATAGGTATTTAATAAGTAATAAGATTTGCATAGGTATTTAATCTCCAGATAAAAAGTGAACTTAGCGGTCAATGAAGTCATTACAACAACAAAATTGGAGCCATTCTTACATCCTGCGTATAGTAATGCTCAACAAGTTAATGATTTAAAAATTTAATCAATGTTTACGAAAAACAAAGAGAACTCCGAGAACTTGAAATAGAAACAGATTGAGGCTCATAAGACCAGGGAATGATATAATAGAATTTACCAAGCAGACTTACATACCCCATTTCAATATCTTTGCTATCGTTCAAAACTGAATTAAATTGGGCCCAATCAACGCGTTCAAGCTCGTGTTATCCATAGATTATTTCAACCTGAGGGAAAACTATAATGACAAAGGTAGATTCAGTCAACCCAAAAAGAGGCAAAAAAGGATATCCAGGACCATGTTAAAGATGCTGGTAAACAAGTATCCGTCGCAAATATCATGATTTTACACATGGTTTACAACAAAAAATGTCACTATTAAAGAAAATAAATAGAAATTTTTGGATCAGTCGATTGATTACTGGACTGCAATTATATGATTAAACTTAACAAAAAAATGAACTTTTAGGATGTAGTCAACAAAATTTAACTTTTAGGATACATCAGCAACGTTACGTTTGGATAGAAAAAGGACTCAGTGCACTTTCTTAAAATTACCATCCCAACTGTGAAGCATGGTGGTGGAAACGCCATTTTATGGGGTTCCTTTAGAGTCGCTCGGAACGCGAAGAAAGGAAACAGCCGAAGATGCAAACTAGGAATTGAATGTTCCAAAATCAAAGCAAGTAAGAAAATTTAAATATCTGGAGAGTGTTTTAACAAACGATGGAAAATGTAGCACTGAAATCGAAAGGGGCAACAAAATAAAAATTCTAAAAGCTAAGCAAAATCCCAAGTAACAAAAAAAATTCGTTAGAAACAAAGGAAAGCGAACTGAACTGTTGTAATATCTTGTATGGCAGTGAATGCTGAACAAGCTCTTCATGAAAAGAAAACTAAAAGCAACAGAAGTGTGGTTCTTCAGAAGAATGTTGAGAATTCCATGGACGAATCACAACTAAGAAATTTTACGGAATATGGAAAAGCAAAGGACAATTACACTAAGAATCATAAAGACAGAGTTGAAATTTATTGGACATATGATGAGAAGGAAGGCTTGGAGAATTTGACACTCACAGTATATATATATAAATACAAAAGAGATGTAGCGCGCCAATTTCCTGGCAAGCTTGTGTAAATTGATGTCGGAACGGGGGGTGTTGTGAAGGATGGTAAAAAGACAAACGTTACGAAGAATAACAAAGGATAGGAAATTGTGGAGTAATAACCCACGTCCTGAAGTGGCCCGGCATATAATAGATGATGATGTCGGGTCCTGTTTAGGAAATCGCCCAAAGAATCTCTAAAACTAAAGAGATACAATAAACTATAATGGAAACGTTTGCTTCCATGCTAGTTTTTGGGTAATAAAAGACGTTGTAAACGCTGAACACAAAAACACACACACACAAAACTCATCTGTTTCTAATTCAAAGTTATCCATCCAAGTGAGAATGTGAGAGAACTGGATCCAGAATAATTCAAGATTTTTTCTTTTTCTTTTTTTTTGTCAGTGCTGATGTGCGAATCTTCAAATTATAACCCAATCCACCTTTTCTTTACCACTTTTGCGAAATTCCTTTCATTCGAAAAGGAATTTCTTTAATCAATTTTTCAAATACTATTCTTTCTCCTTTTCTTCTTAATAATATATTTTCTTTTCTTCTTTATATATATATATATATATATATATATATATATATATATATATATTATAAATTAATTGATTTAAAATATGTTTTTTTTTTTACATAGTTCTAACCATGTTTCAAAAATGGAAGCTAAAAAGCCACGAATTTAATTTTGCAATTAAATTAAATTAAATTAATTTTGCAATTAAATTAATTTAATTGCAAAATTAAATTCGTGGCGTTTAGTTTCCATTTTTGAAACATGGTTAGAACTATGTAGCGGAAAAAAAAGCATATTTTAAATCAAATAATTTATAATATTAATGCTCTGTAAATTTACATTGAGCACTATTTTTTAAAAATAAAAATATCTATAAGAACACCGGATTATATATCTTACTGTTCTTTCTTTATATATATATATATATATATATATATATAAAACACTGGACATTGAAGTCATCATTCAGCGGCGACAGTGTTTCATGCTTATACATAATGCTGGTTAGATCCAGTGACTAGACCCAAAGAGTTGTGAGTTCAATACCAGGCTACAGCGGTGGTGAACCAAACTTGGAGAGTTAAGTTAAAGTTGAAGAGGCATGGTACGTGGAACTAGAACAATCTACCCCGGGGGACGAAATAAAGGATTCAGTTCGAAATTCCAATCACCTGAAGAAGGCCGGAGCGTACAAGAGCCGAACCGTTGTGAATATGGCAATGAAGACGAGGACAGCAGTCTGAATAATGTAAATAATGTAAGTAATCATAATAACTCATCTCAGAGATATAGACAGATATTAATTACTATACTTTATTGTTTTCAGGCAAATAAAATCGATTTATCTAAATTAGTTATGTTCTTGCATCTTCTTCATAGTTATCGAATTTTCCGGGCACCATTTGATTTATCCCTAGAAACTTATTCCTTTGGTAAGCAGGAAGTTCCACTCGAACAGCTTCTTAACACTTTGACTCGCTGGAAACTTTTCCAGCTGTCCTGGTCACACTCTCTGCTTCTGAGCAGAGAGGATCCCCAGACGAGGCTATGTCGAAGGGCAGTTTTGCGATAAATAGCAAGTTATTTTTATAAGATAGAACAATTACTTGGAAAAATGAATACTGACAATACTTAATCTAAGGAATTACAAGACTTTGAAGTCCTTTCATTCGAATTTCCACTCTCTCTCATTTGTTCTAAAAATCTACTGTTACATTGATTTGTTTTACAAGATATTTTAGGTTCTTTTATCTAAATCTTTAAATCCCGTTACTCAAAAGTTAAGTATATAAAAGTTAAGTAAATAAAAGCCCAACTGACTTTTAAGTGAAAATAAATTGTCTTTTAGTAACCTTTTTTAAAAACTAAAATTTAAAAGTTTCAAGAGCCACTCAAGGTAGAGAGTTACTGCTAAAATTGTAATGATAAATGAGGTGAATGATATGAATAAAAGACGAGGTGAAGATTATAACGATAAAAAGACAGATAACGGTTGTCTCTTAATTCTTTCTTCTTATATTTGGGGCACAGAGGAAATGACGGTGATTCGCCTCTGTGGAAGTGGCATGTCTTGTCCTAATTGAAAAAAAAAAAGAAAAAAAAAGAAAAATTGCCATAGATACAGGATTAAAAAAGGCTCCAGAGTGGAAAATAAATCCCGATTTCCTCAAGGATGACGAAGAGACTCGAGGTGACAGAGATGTGGTTCTACAGAAGGATGCTGAGAATATCATGGACCGAGCATGTGGGCAACGATGAGGTCTTAGAGAGGTTGCAAACAAGGAGAATGCTTATACTTAACATCAGAAAGAGGCAGCTGAAGTTTCTGGGACACATAATGAGGGAAAGCAGTTCGTGCCATACCTGGCGAGATTGAGCGGGTGGATGACAGAACGTGGTCTGGAGGGGGGGGAGCAGAGGGAAGGAAACTGCTGAGAGCTGCAAGGGATAGAGGGAGGTGGAGAGTCATGATCGCCTACGTCCTGAAACGACATGGCACATAAAAAGAAAAATGATTTTAAACTCTATGAAGCTGGAAAGTGGAGACTGGGCAACTCCTGTCTAAATATGGAAGCAGTTCTCTATTTTTGATCCAATCTGACTTTTGTAAAGATAAGGCATGAGTCAAGTACTTCCTGGAGTGATGGAATAAGCTGACCATTTTTCTGACATCTTTAGCAATGGATCGTATATACTTGTTCCACTTTAGGTCTGGGGTGAAATTGAGACCCAATGGACGTGCAAAGTATGAGACCTCAGTGAGAATGCAACCATTCATCGCGGCCGAAGAAAACTCGGGGTTTGAATGATGAACTATGAAACGATACAAAGAAAATCGATCCCCTGGGATACAGTGCAAACGACCGACAGGAAAAAAAATAGATTTCACGATCGATCTGCTCATTAAAACTGTTGATTAAGGAGATGACCTATTAAAAAAAAATCATTCTAGTGCTCTCAACTCCATACCGTGGTAAACTTACTTGATACAGAAACCACAGCAGCAAAACTTAGAATAGTGTGGCTGTGGACATAGCGTGATGAAGCTGTGGTTTTATATTCCAAGGGAATTCTGCAGAATAACTGAAGGATGAATTATTTTCAAAGCATCCGTTATGTTTTCCCCATAATTTTATGCAATATTTAACAATCATAAAAAGATATTCACTAATTCTTTAACTAAAATAACAATTATTAAAATACGTTAGAAGTCAATCAGTCACGACTTACTGATAAATACGTGGCTAAGTGAAAAATTATACTCACTTTCGCCATAACATAACATTAAATTTGTCACATTGCCTTTTGCTCATGTACGCTTATAGTTAGTGACGTGGTCACGTGATTGAAGTTTGAGCTTGATTGCGCTAGTTTTCATGCAGTTGTAAATATGGCCGTCCGGTTATTAGTGAGCACCAAGGAGGAACAAAGAGTAGTGATCCGATTTCTCTGGTCGGAAGGTGTGTCAGGGGCTGAAATTCATCGGAAGCTTATAACACAATACGTCGACAGTGCCCTACTACGTAGAAGTGTGTGTGTGAGTGGACCGAAAAGTTTATAAGTAGTCGGACTAGCGTGAAGCATGAAGAAGGAGCAGGACGCCCGTCAACCTTCACTACTGAGGAGAAGAT